TTATAACCATTTGGTTTTGTTATAAAACATAAATTTGTATTAGCGGAGTCCGACTTGCCGTTCGTTCAATTGCAATCGCTCCTCTTTAAGGAAACCACCTTTCGTCCTTTGTAGCTTCACACCGATTATGAACGACTTGAAAATTTTACAGGAGTTATTTACTTTCAATCTTCACTTTCCTTTTTATAGGTGCGCCTTGCCGAGGACATTGGAATCGACAAGACACGAGCCTCTCTTCTTCTAACGTTCGTGACAGTTGGATCGGCATTCGGTCGTGTCATCGTCGGGCGCTTATCGGATATCCAACGTTTCAATCGCGTGTACATCGTTCAGTTAGCGTTCCTAGTCATAGGATTGAGCAACTTTGTGGTACCAGTTACTGAATCTTACCCCATTTTAGCTATAAATGCGTTCATATTTGGATTATTTGCCGGAGCTTATCTAATCCTCAATCCTGTGATCGTATGCGACATTCTTGGTCCGGACAAAGTGTCGTACGGCTTAGGAATGTCCTACTTGTTGTTGTCTGTACCTCGCACGCTTGGACCACTGATTGCCGGAAGAATTTATGATGGACTGCAGAGCTATGCAATTGCTTTTTACATCCTCGGAGGCACGACTTGTCTATCAGCCTTCTTGGCAACTTTTGTTTCAATCTTGATTCGAAGAAAAGTTGACGATAAAAGTGAGAGTTGTAAAAACAATGAGCCTTCGGTATAAACTGACTGCTCACAAAAATAGTAAGACTACCGAACGACTTCTGTCCACAAAAAAACTGTATTCAGGTGATCGTTATTATTATAATGGAGGAATATGGAAGTTGCTCAGTTTTCTTTAACCGTATCAAATCTCTTCTTGAAAGAACAGTTTGTGGCTTTATCTTTCATGGTCCGTGGTTATGTCAAATCCCATGCTAAAAAACACATTTATAAAAGCGACAAAGATATGCTATCGCGACGTGCATTACTATTTATAAGACGTCGTGATATTTTAATAATTAAGATCTACACGCTGCTTCCCCGACTAATGATATGTGAATTTAAAAGCAATGTAGACGATAAAAAAAAAAAAATTCTTCACCTTCACTTCTTTTATCGCAAAGAAATGAAAGATGTCTGTAAAAAGAAATTGCACTTTATTTGACTTAAAATATGAAACTATGAATAGCATTTTGATGCTGTTTATGACCTCCTTCAAGAAAATAACATGTCATTACACCATTAGCAGGTAATATTCAGGATAATAATAATAATTTATTGAATTTTTAGGCGCAAATTCTATGTATATATATTCAAATGCCCCGTAGCATAATAATTACAATAAACTAAAGATAAAATAAAAATAACAATAATAATGATAATTGGAATACAAATAACAATTAAATACGATTCATAATAAATAAAATCATATATAACATATAAATAATAACTTATTATTACTTGAAATGTTCTATTTAAACTTTATCAATGAATAAATAACTATAAAAACTTTATCAATTATAAAATGCTTTCTTAAAAAGAAACGTCTTAAGCTTTGATTTAAAACTATTAATAGAACTAGATTCTCGTATATCCCTTGGTAAATTATTCCATAGCTTAGGTGCCGCAAACATAAATGCTCGGTCACCAAGTGTTGCCTTAGACTTAAAACTAGGATAACTGAGTAAGGTCTTATCCCTAGAATTCCTTAAATTATATCTTGACTCGGGCTTGCGTGTAATTAGAGAACTTAAATAAGACGGTGCAAAACCCTTAAAAATCTTGAAAACAATTAATACAATCTTAAATTGAATTCATAACTTAATAGGTAACCAGTGCAACTCCATCAATAAAGTAGTAATATGACAATAATTTACTGGGATGTACCAATGATCAGAAACTCAGTCTTGTCGTCGTTCAGTTTCAATTTTTATTTTGTATTAACTCCAGAGATGCGTATTTACTAACTTCATTCACTCCTATGAGAGATCATTGTGTAATTTCTCCTCTTAATGCCAATTCGTTGTTAAGCATAAAAGAGATGAGCAAAAGGAAAATATCAATGAGGGGTTTAACTGCAAATTCTCAGAGACAAAATGATAGGAAATATACATTTCAACAATACTATGGAGTGTTTTTATTCATAACTTGAGAATAAGGGGAACTGTTTAACGTCTACTGAAGAATATGTCGTCGTCAATACTTGATGATGCTTGGTCTGGGTTAAACATTCAACCCCTAAGAGTGATCAGCATCTAAATTCTCCTTTCATTGTTGCTCGTGAACTAAACATTAAGGTCACGAAAATAGAAGAAATGATCACCAACAGGCTCTTGGTCGTTAAACAAGTTCTCCTTGTCAGCGCCTTGGAAAATGTATAGAAAACAGTATAGAGAATACGCATACTGATGTTAAGGTGTAGAGGGTTAATTTTGCGTCGATGAGGACACGGTCAAGAAGATTGTTATCGGCATTGGTAGTATGGACTTATTAGAGATCATTCTTTTGTTCGGAAGCTAAAGTTTTCCTCCCCCAAAAAGCCTCTGTTCTTTCACATTAGACATAGAGTACAATCTGGTGGATAGCTTATCGATTTTTTTATCTTTCTGTTATCAAACACTTCTTCATATGTCAACAATACGGCATAAAGAGCAAACGTAAGGACGTTAAACACGGCTCATCACGTTATGGTAAATAGTTGCTAATTTTATACAAGTTATCATTTACACGATTCACTTCGTTTCGACGTCAAACAGGGAAAAATGAAACATAGGGAAAGAATGGTACCTCGTCAAACTTCTCTCTTTTTTCTGCACCAAACCAACAATTTCATTTGAGTTGTTCTATAACTTCCTCGGCGAACAACAATGCTAAGATCTCAAGAAAACGTATCAGTATGAGTTTTATTACCCTTCAATAGAAACTAAATATCCGTGGGTCTGTCTTTATATTTCAAAGTCATGGGAGTTTATAAGAATGGTCGTGAATAAATTATGCATGAAATACCACTTTGGCACCATAAAAGATTTACTCTTACTCAGAAACCGGCACCGCAGAGGTATTTTACGGAGAGAAAACACTCACAAATCGAAATACTATCAGTGTTATCTCATGATGGTTAATGAGGAGGATAGGTATCAAAGTCATTTTACTTACATCAGAGTAAAAGCAGTCGGTGAAATTGGACCGTGTGTGACTTGATTGGGGGCGAAACTTTTTGCGTCCGTCAAAGAATCATTTCAAACCGGCATCTTTTCTTAAAGGTGCAGTTTTTAGTTTTGGTATGTTTGTTTCTTATCCATGCTGAGCTATTATTTCGTTACTTCCTTTAATTTTACGGTATTTTAGCAATGGTATAAAAAAGTGACTCGTGAATTAGGTACTTAAATTTCCAGCAATAAAAAGGTTTTCACCTTAAGATTTCGACGTATTTCATCGCCAAACCATTATTTTAAGTACAAGTCCTTTTTTCGTGGGTTTTTTCATGTCATCCCCTGCTAGTGGCCACTATGTCATGTGTCTTGCTTGCCACGATCGAGGTGGAATCGTATGTAATCTGTAGTAAGGTAATCTGTTAAGGTAATGGCATTGAAAAAGAGGCAAGAATAAATTCAAGAAGGAACATGGATGTCTTGGACCGGGAAAAATTTGAAACGAATTTAAGAAAGAAAACATTGAAAATTTTATGCTAAGTCTACGTAGCTTCATTCAGTGGTCACACTTGGCCTCTCACGTGGGGATAAAACACGTGTTCGGTTTAGAAACGAGTGCTGGAAGACTGGAAGGTCACGTTTTTCCATATACATTAAGAAAATGTTTAATCTGAAAAATGAATGTATTGCAGTGTTAATGAAAACAATAAAATTTTATATCTGTGGTAGGCAGAGGCCTGTCACTTTTGTTTGTTCTAGTAGTTTGTTTAATAAGGAGTGTATTACATGAGTTGACTGCTTGCTAAGATGGCATTATATGGGTTGGCCAGCGTGACTCATGCAATCAGCCCCTAGGTGGATGAACCCAGACAATCGGCTACCCTCAGGGAATTGGCAAATGGCCACTCAATAGGGTTTTTTTTTTGTTTGACGTCAATGCAAATTTATAGCAAATGAACAGCTTTGCTCAATTAGAAAATTAGAGTACATTAAGTGCAAAGGTACTTATTTCCATGGTAAGTAAATGAGTGGGTAGAAAAATATCGCAAACAAACTGTTTTGCACCATGTTTACTTGTAGTTGCATCAATAGTAAAAATTTCACTTTTGCGCAGAAAGCAAATGCTTAAAAAATATGTTTAAGCTCAAGTTTACCTTGGCAGCAAATGTAAGGTAACTGTTAAGCAAATGTCATATCTACATCACATTTGCATGTAATTTTGTCAGGTTGAGTTTACCTTCAGTTTACAGCTAGTGCAAATTTAGTTCAAATTTAGAGCCTCAAATTTGCACCACATTTGCACACCTTGACAAACACTAGTAAATCCGAAAAAGACAAGACAAGAAATAATACTAATCTACAATCGTGTTTTGGTAGATGGAACAGAGCAGGACAATCAGTTGTGAGGCTAACGAGACTGAATTGGGTGTGAAAGTGCTTGCTGAGGCTTCAGAGGGAGGAGATCCAAGGGATGTTCAAAGTTCTGACAACAACATCGAGAAAAACCAGCGTAAAAATGAACATCAATTTTGTCTTGATGTAGGGACTAAAACAGAAGGATGTAAGGGAGAATCGAGAGCCCCTGAGTGCAATAAGCCTCATTCTGATGAAGAGGCTGCCACAACGCCTCATTCTGATGATGAGGCTC